CATGTTACCAGAACTGTGGTCATCCAGCCACACCCACCTTTTGCTTGTTATTCTGTTGACCTTGTTTGTGGTCCAAACCCAGGGCCTTTTTTTTGTAGCAGGGACTCCTTTGCATGTTAGGCCACACACCCCTAATGTAGCCAATCCGAATGAGTTCCTGCTGTTGGGTGTGGCCTGTTAGGCTAATGAGTTCCAGGAGCCAGCCGCCAACTTGGGAGCCAGCCGGAACGCCGTTCCTGTGGGTTCCTGCCCCAAAATAGCCCTGTTCTATACTGCGTTGTGGCCAGGGTGATAATGTAAGGCATGTGAAGAAATGGCTTCCCCAAATCATTATGCAAGGAAGTGAAACAATATTAGCGGGTGTGGTAGCCACGCAAAGGCAGATCCAAATGACCAGCCTTACTTAGGGACAGGGGGCCCAGAAGTCTCCGGAGAGGCCAGGGCTGATCTGGGTTTGTACAGGATGAGAGGGTACTTCAGGTGTTTGGCCCCAGGCCTTGAAGGACTTTCAAGGTCAAAACCAGCAAGGTGAGCATAGTAACATATCAGCAGCCAATGTATCATGCCTATACTATTGTTTGTGAATGCATCCAAACATGTGGTTGCAAGTTGACAGGGGAAGAGCACTTAAATTGAAGAAGAGAGAAGAAAAGATTGGATTTATGCCCCGCCCTTCACAATTTCCTGCAGTGTGCAGGGGGTTGGGCCCAGATGTCCCTGGAGCTCCCTTCCAACTCTATGATTCTACGAACCCTGCCCTACTCCAAAGATCCCCCTCACCAGGTCACAGCTGGGGGATCTAGGTAACAGCGCCTCTCCAAGTCCCACATGATCCTTTTCTTGACAGTTTCTCCCAGAATCCTGAGCTCTCTATCCTGAAAAAAATAAAGAGGCCCCATGGTTCAGAGGGTCGCGAAACGAGAAAGCGGAAAAATGCCTGCAAATAGAAACACCACCCCCCCAAAAAATAAGACCTTTAAATAAGCCAACCGGTTGTGCCTATTTTACTCAAGGAACGGACCGGGGGGGGGTATTATTGCCACCTCTGGAGCTCCCCTTTGGCTGGCCGAAGAATGGGATTCTGGGGGAAACGGGAAGGGCTGCGTCCCTGTGCTTTGCCTGTGCCGGGTTTCCAGGTTCGATTCCTGGCTCCCCCAATTACGAGCACTCAGGCTGCACAGATGTGGGGGAAGACTGTGCTCTGCTGGAGAGGCACGCCACTAGAGGATTCTGGGGGAAATGGGGCGGCCGTGCAAGCTTGGTGCCTCACACATGCAACGCTTTCGATTTGATCCTCCAGTGGGAGGAACATTCAGCCGGCAGGGAATGAGTTCGACCTTTCCCCCTCTGAGCCCCTGCCCATCGGAGCGAGACGGATCCACGGTCTGAGTCTGCATAAGTCAGCCTCATAGGTCCGTACCTGACCCCCAGCCTCCCTCGCCAAGGCGGTCCTTAAACGCCTGGTGCTTCTGGGCAACTCCATCCTCTCCCGTCTCTGCCCTACACACCTCCAGCGCGGTCAGATCCCCATCTTCCTCCTCGTAATCGCAGCCGGCAATGAAACAGTCGGGAATGTTTTGAGCCCCCATCGCTAAGATGTTGCTGACTGGCCACTTCTTGGGTCGGGGGACGGGCTCTCGCTCACCACCAATCTTCAGGGTCCCGTTCTTGAAGACGAAGGCGCATTCTTTCTGGAAAGGAGAAGGAAAGAGTCCAGTAGCAACTTAAAGACTAACAAAATCTGGGGTAGGGTAAGAGCCTTCGTATGAGCTAGAAGTGAGCAGTGAGCAGTGACTCACGAACACTCCTCCCCTGCCTTATAGTAGTCTTTAAGGTGCTACTGGGCTCTTACTCTTTTCTACTGATAAAGGTAAAGGTAAAGGTTCCCTTGCTCAAAAGCCAGTCGAATCTGACTCTAGGGTAGCGGTGCTCATCTCCGTTTCAAAGCTGAAGAGCCAGCGCTGTCCGAAGACGCACCAAGGCGCACGGAACGCTGTTACCTTCCCACCAAAGTGGTACCTATTTATCTACTTGCAATTTCTTGCTTTCGAACTGCTAGGTCGGCAGGAGCTGGAACGAGAGATGGGAGCTCACTCCGTCTTGCGGCACCCGGGTCTCAAACTGCTGAACTACTGACCTTCCACAGCCTGCTACAGACAGACTAATGCGGCGACCCATCTTGATCTATCTCCTTGGAAAGGAGAGGACAGTTTTTCCCCCACTGAAGTTTGCCCTTACCCCATTTTTCCTCCGTGGTAGAAAAAGCAACTGGGAGGGGGTTACGGTGGGGACACAAAAAACCCCACTGGAGGGGCAAGAGCTAAGCTCCTCCCAGATCTTTCAAGGCAGCTGCATTTGGGTTGTTTATTTTTTTTCAAGATGTCAGGAGAATACAACACGTATGTTCGCAAGACAAGTAAGGGTGCTCGCCTTCAAATATTCGCTCAACCACGAATATTCGCAAATCACCCTCCAGCTGGAAATTCCAGTAGCTCGGTTACCGAACCCAGCAGGGGACACCCTCCACAGTAGCAGCCAAGGTGCTAGTGGAGAAGCAAACCATGTCAGAGGATCCCGCAGAAGTGGGACCTCGGCAACTGACCCACCCACCTCTCCCACTGCCGGCACTTGGAAGCCGGCCATGTAGTTTTGCAGGGGTCCAGTGGGAACAAACACTTCCGGGACTGCGTAAGCGCCTTCTACCGTGACCCGTAGAAGGTTGCCTTCCAACAGCTGGTACGGAGAGAGAAGACTCTCCTGGACGGTCACCAACACGCTGATGACACACTGAAAAACAAACATAAGTGTCCGGTCTGAGATCCCGTTGTTTTGGTAAATAATTCTATAGGATCATCACTTTTTAAAAATTTACTTTTTTATTTGCATCATAAATTATTATTACATTACAATACAGTCCCCGTTCTCTTATGATGCCTTTCCCCCCCTTTTATATCCCACCCCCCACAAGGTGACCATCACATAACTTCCAATTAAATTTTTAACCATGAGCACATTTTTTTCATTTTTTCCAGTATAACGGAATTGGCTTCTCCATTATTTACCCATTGAAAGTATTCCGACCATTTCTTTTTTTATCTCCTTCATCTTTCCATCCCATGCCTTATCTTGTTTAATACTTTCCAATATATCTGACTGAATATATCCGTATAAATAGTCATTCCATTTATCTAAAGACCATTTCAAGTTCTCCTTCCAACCATAGGCAATCACAGCATGCGCGGCTAATAACATTGTAGGCAATCATAGCATGCGCGGCTAATAACATTGCTTTTAAAATATCTTGGTTTCGTCTCTCGATGTTATAGTTTCCCAGTACGCCCATAAATAATAAATTATAGGATCATCACTTGATAAGAATCTATAGGATCATCACTTGATAAGAATGCATTGGCAGCAGATCCTTATTGATCACTGGCCTAAAAGATATCTTGTTGATCCCTGGGCCGAAAGATATCCAGCTTTCCTTGACCAGAGCTAGGGCCTTTTCGGCCTGGTAGAACTCTCTCCCAGAAGACATCCATGCCCTGGAGGACTTAGTGGAGTTCCACAGGGCCTGTAAGATGGAGATGTTCCGCCAGGACTATGGTTGAGGAAAGCAACGGTTTGTCATCGATCCTGGCCTCTTTCATTCCTTCCCCCTCCCCCTCATGGTGAAGGATATCAATTGGTATTCAAACGCCATCTGAATTAGTTCTGACTTGTTTTTAACTGTTTTAATTTGACTATAATTGATTAATATATGTATCTATCGAATCGTTATTCACTGCCCTGAGCCCTCATGAGGGACAGCAGTCTATAAGACAAATAAACAAATCCACTTTGCAGAACTGCAATTCACAGGGTAACCTGTGAGGGAAGGGAAAGACAAATTTTGCGACCTCTTAAAAATGGGATATATTTTTATTCTAGCATAAGCTTTTGTCGACCGCCATCCACTTCATCACGGGCAGGTCAAGGTGCCAATCTACAAAAGTTCAAGTCAAGTCAAGTCAAGTCAGCCTTTATTACAAACGTTCATGTTATACTAAAAATGCCCCAACTTTTAAGGGCCGCTGGGATCTCGCTTTTACTGCCACATACCAACAGGGCAGCGACCCATTCGGAATCTGAAGCCAGTTTAAGTCAGCGATTGTAGGCACAGCGTTCAGGAATAACCCCAAAGCAGCAACCATCCTGCTGCCTATTGGGACCCGTGTGGTCCCCCCGACGGTCTCAGGGCCGGATCTGTTCTGTAAGCTTTAAGCGTTTTGCCCTCCCTGGCTGCCTCCGTTGTTCTCTCCCAGACGGCCAGCAACTGAGGGAAATGAACGGAGGGTGGGAAAGGAGGAGAAAGACCACGTTTCTTCTCCAGCCCCGAAGAAAGGGGGGGGAGGCTCTCAACCAGCACAGGGTTTCTCTGATGTTGTAGTCATGGAATGATAACGGTACACGAGTGAATCAGTTCACATTTCCAAGCTTAACATGTTTGAACATAAGAACATAAGCGAAGCCAATGCTGGATCAGGTCAATGGTCCTACACTCTTGTGTCAAACAGTGGCCAAAAATACCAGGTGCCATTAGGAGGTCCACCAGCGGGGCCAGAACTCCAGAAGCCCTCCCACTGTCGCCCCCCTCCCAAGCACCAAGAAGACAGAGCATCACTGCCCCAGACATAAGACCATAAGAGAAGCCACACTGGATGAGGCCAATGGCCCACCCAGTCCAACACTCTGTGTCACACAGTGGTCAAAACCCAGGGGCCACCAGGAGGTCCAACAGTGGGGCCAGAACTCCAGAAGCCCTCCCACTGTGGCCCCCCAAGCACCAAGAAGACAGAGCATCACTGCCCCAAACATAAGAACAGAAGAGAAGCCATGTTGCATCAGGCCAATGGCCCATCCAGTCTAATGCTCTGTCACACAGTGGCCAAAACCCAGGGGCCACCAGGAGGTCCACCAGTGGGGCCAGAACTCCAGAGACCCTCCCACTGTGGCCCCCAAGCAATAGGACCAGGGCACTGAAATGTAAAGCTCTACACATGCTTCGGAAAGAAGAGCTCTGAGCAGATAGTTCGTTTTTTAGTACCTTGGCATCTGGTCGGAGGAACTCCAGGGGAGAGCCAGGCATAGGGTAGAGTGGAAGCATTGTTTTAAAATCATGTGATCCTGTAAAATAAAAAAGGGAGCGGGAAAGTCAGGAGGAAGACAGGTGGAAGACACCGAACCAACCAGCAAGCCCGACGCCTTCCTAGGGAAATGTTGGTGGGGCACAGGAAGAAGAAGAGGAGGAGGAGGAGGAAGAGGAAAGAAGAAACAGAAATGTATTGCCAAGCTTACGGGTGAGAGCAGGGAGTCTCTATTTAAATACTGCCCTCTACTTCTTCCCTTCCCCTCTCTCCCCGGGGGACAGTGACATAGTTTATATGCCATCTGGTTAATTGTTGATTCTGTACGTACCGATTTTAACTGTGTTTTAAATTGCTTATTCATGTTGTAATCCACTCCGAGCCAACGCTCCCTCTAAGCTGTGGAGTCTTGTGAGCAAAAACTCTACTTTTGTGAGCCACTGGCATGGAAGTTGTGAGTGGTCTGGCCACTGCATCAATTAGTTTGCTCTGGAGCCGTCCCTTCCCGAGCGAAGACGAAAAGGTGTGAGCTGGAGGCTAAAAAACTGTGAGCTGGCTCACACTAATTCAGCTTAGAGGGAACACTGCTCTGAGACCCACGATTGTGGGGGAGAGTGGATTAGAAATCAAATCAATAAATAAAAGTAGTATAGCCTCCAGTCCCATTCCCTTTTATTAAAGCGCCTTCTCGACCCATTCCATTGTAGTATCAGTGTTCTCCATGTCTTCTGCATTCAGAAGGGACACTGTGTAACATCCTAGTCAGAGAAGGCCCGGATAGCCAGGGTCAGCCTGCCTCCCCGCCCCCCCCTACTAATTTGTCCCAAGGTTGGCTGGGGGGGAGCTCCAGATACACCAATGAAAAGGAATGCGTGTCGCGGGTCAGTCAGGGTTCAGTGCTAGCGAGGGCTCCTCAGGAGGAGCCTCGTGTAGCCAGCCCTGAATCAGCAGAAGCCGGTAAGCAGGAAGATGAGCTGCAGGTTTCTCAGAGTTCACAGCCAACAGCTGGTGCGGGGCCACCAACACCCTCCAGCCCCGATTCAACAACTGGTCGTTTCCAGCCCTCCAGTATCACCTACACCCTTAGAGCCTTGCAGACAGAGGCTAAGATCAGAGCTGCAGTAGAGATGGCAAAGTGCACGCCTCCTGGCTCAACGCCAGCTGCTCGCTGATAGCAAAGATGAGTAGCTGCAGGATTGCTCTGGAAAAGCTGGCTGCAATCATGACCCTTCAGCGTAGGGCTATAAAAACCAGCCAAGGGAGGCTGTGAGGCGTGGAAGCAATACGTCACTATATCTCTAACACCACTGTATTCTGCCTTTCTCCTATGACCTTCGGACTGATTCTTGACTCTGACTTCTGGACCTGCCTTGACCTTGTTTGTGAACGAGCTTAGACTGCTGCACCTTGCCTCTTGGATGACTCTCCAGAGAGTCATCCTTTTGTCATCCTGGTAATTGACCTCTGGACCGAACTCTTGGCTATGATACTTGGGACTAGCGCCTTTGTCTGTCTGCACCCCTGGACAGTGCCCTAGGGACACTGTTGGGGTGGGGGTTGGTTCTGACCCCCTGCAACAGTTCCAGTGTCTGTTGCACTAAATCCCCGATTGCCACCTTTCTTTCACTCTGTCTCCTAAAACACAGCGGGAATCACTGCAAACTGATTAAGGGACTCATACTCCCAAAATCTTGTTGGTCTCGAAGGTGCTCCTGGATTCGAATCTAGCTCTTCAGACCAACATGGCTGCCCTCTGAAACTGGAAACCGAGCCAACCTTAATCTTCCTAGCCCCACCTGGGTTCCCTTTCTTGGAAGGTGGAGGGGGAGTAAAGGTAAAGGTAAAGGTTCCCTTGCTCGAAAGCCTAGGGTTGCGGTGCTCATCTCCGTTTCAAAGCCGAAGAGCCAGCGCTGTCCGAAGACGTTTCCGTGGTCATGTGGCCGGCATGACTCAACACCAAGGCGCACGGAACGCTGTTCCCTTCCCACTGAAGTGGTACCTATTCATCTACTTGCAATTTCTTGCTTTTGAACTGCTAGGTTGGCAGGAGCTGGAACTAGAAACAGGAGCTCACTCCGTCTTGCAGCACCTGGGTCTCGAACTGCTGAACTACCGACCTTCCACAGCCTTGAGCCACCGCAGCTCCAGGGGGAGAAGGGATGGATAAATAGACAGATGCCTATAAGCCAGGTCTAAGGCCCGGCCTAGACATACAACAGAGTGCGGTGTTAGAATCCTAAGGTGGTAGAGTAGACTGTACCACTTCAGCCTGTAGGTGGAAGAGACCATTTTTAATTTTAGTGACTTCCCCGTTTTAAAATGGCCTGCAAAATGAAAACTAACCAAAAGGGAGACAGGTTCTAGCCCAGCCTATGCTTTGCTATTTTCCGCTTACAGTGTTGTTGTTTTTTAAATAGAAGTGATCAGACAGAGGTGTGATTTCCCTCCTCCACTAGAAGCCAGAAGAGGTACGTTCCAAATCCACCTCTACCAATGCTCCCTCTAAGCTGTGGAGTCTTGTGAGCAAAAATCCTAAAGTTGTGAGTGAGCAATTTGTTGGCTGCTGCATAAAGCAGTTTGCTCTGGAGCCCTCCTTCCTGAGCTGAGACAAAACTGCGTGAGCCGGAGGCTAAAAAGCTGCGAGCTAGCTCACACTAACTCAGCTTAAAGGGAACCCTGACCTCTACCACTGCATTCCCACTTCCTCTTGCTGCTTTTCCCCTTAACATGGGGACAAGCCTTTGCCACAAGTAGGCACGCACAGGGAACATTCTGGCCAATAGAAAATGCGAAGACGAGAAAGAACAAGGGGGACGATTCCACCGGGGGCTCACTGCCGCCACTCACCTTGCAGTAAAGGAAGCAGGTCCAACACGGCTTGGCCGAGGGTCACCGTCTTCTCTTCCTTCTGCTTCTTCTCCTTCGGCAAGACTTCGATCACAGTGACTGGAGACGTCAGGCAGAAGAAGGGATGATGGAACTCCCTCCTAGATCCGTGCCACACAAGCTTCCAATGGTACAACCATCAGCCATTTTCTTGACCACCTGCACCACTTCCCCCTGTCTTCTCACCGAGGAGCCCCACCCAACAAGCCTCCGCAAGTTTCCTGCAATGTGGTTTGGAAAGGGCTGCCCTAGACCAGGTATGTCAAACATAAGGCCCGGGGGCCAGAACTGGCCCTCAAGCAACTGGTATGTATGGAAATGTAAGGTAGGTAAAGGTTCCCTTGCTCGAAAGCCAGTCGAATCCGACTCTAGGGTTGCGATGCTCATCTCCGTTTCAAAGCCGAAGAGCCAGTGCTGTCCGAAGACGTTTCCATGTTCATGTGGCCGGCATGACTAAACACCAAGGCGCACGGAACGCTGTTACCTTCCCACCGAAGTGGTACCTATTTATCTACTTGCAATTCCTTGCTT